TTTTTCGACGAGGAAATAATGGATACGCACTTAGGCACCGCGTGAAGGCGACGCTCCATTTTATCCAAAATAAATTAATTTCCATTTTGTTTTTATATATTTAAATATAACAATGAAAATATTTTAGTCAATAAATTTAAATAGCGTCAAAATTAATGCATTGTATTTTTCTAACTAAAATGAAGTTCATTTGACATGACCGTTAAAGATACTTATATAGTAATATTAATTTAAAGTATTCGTTAAATTCAGAAGCAAACACAGTTATAATTTGTGTATTATAAATTTAGCACTCCATTGTATGCGTATGGTGACGATCAATAACTCTGACCATTCCGTTTTGGCTTTGTTGATTTAGAATTGTATCTGTTGCTACTGTTGTTTTGCCGCTCTGTCTGTCCCTAATAATTAATTCTCGCTGACTGGAGGATTCATATTTCTAAAGCTTTGCTTCACCCAAAAAGGATTTAATAAATCTTCACTTATAAAATTGTATCATATGTTGTATATGACTTCGAATATGTAGTTTTACATATGTGTGTGGTTTCACATAAAGAAGCTTTATGTGTGAAGTTGTATCTAAAAGAATTGATTAGAAGCTTTCTAACATCACATGTGAAATTTTACATGTCCGGTGTTAACATGTGCGATGATCAGTCAGAGAATTTGTATGCTCAACATGCATAGATATGGTGATGAAGTGGGGACCTTCATTAATATATACGGGTACGGGGTAATGAGTGCGATACCCGTCTCCGTTTCCATCCCCAGTTTGAGCCAAACGGGGATCCCCGTCCCCTTCCCCTTCCCCGAGACCCAGTTTAACGGAAAATCCCTGTCCTTGACCGAGGCAGGTGGACCGAGTCAATTCTCATGCTTAAATATGCACCAATATAAAATGATGCCTAAAATATTTAAGGTGAATCTCCCTTTATCTGTTTGTATATTTATCATGAATTTTATTTATCATTCATAAAATTAGATAAAGACAATAATTTATAATTAATATTACAATATATTTAAAAGTTAGATAATTACGTAATATGGATGAGGAATGATAAAATAATAATCATCATCCTAAATACATTAAGAACTTACTAGAAGGATACTCTCATAATGCAGCGACATATATCTTGATTTTAATATTTTATTTTATCAGTCGATATTATAATATGATTTTATGTGATTTTGAGAAAACGATGATGTTTTTATTTTTGAATAAAATATAATTTTGAAGATATCATAAAAATTTGACAAAAATATATCGATATTAGTATCAAATTAACTATTTAAAATTCCTTATTTTTGTGTAATTTTTTAATTATAATTTAATTTAAGTTCAATAACAAAGTAATTTATATTTGGTTTAGTAATATAATTTTCTTATAAAGATAATAGTTAATTATTTTGTTAGAACTCGATAATTATCCTAATTATATTTTAGATCTTTTATATTTAAAGTAATATGTTTATCTTCTATTTGATTATGTTTATCCGCAGTTAGTTACACAAATTCAAACATAAAGCTTTAATAAGTTGTATTTACGCACAATTTACTTGTAATCTTGAATTTTAAGTAATATGCATAAATAAACAGTACTTCATGCATAAAAAAATATTTTTAAGAGTTTTTATCATGTTTTATAATATAGTATAGATAACAAAATGTAAAAATTAATCACATTTATTATAAATTAAAATTTAAAACGATCTAATGATTAAAAAGTATTTGCACATTTTCAACATATCAAAGGCATGGACAGAGAGAGACGATGACGATGTAATCATGCATTTACACTTTTCATGTGTTTTTTCATATATGAAACATTCAAAATTGTTTATCTCTACATATAAAAAAAAATCATGAACGTTTCACATATAGAACAACACTGTATAAACACTAAATTTTCATACATGTTGTTTGTAAGTTTATACGAATTTATTATGTTTGAAAAATAATTATACATCTATACATATGAAGCTACAAATTTAAACCATATATTTACAAACCAATTTTAACAGTTCACTTATTCTAATAAATATTTGGTTTTATAAAATTACAGATTATTTTATAATTTAGAACGACTAGAAGGTACTCACGCAATGCAACGAGATACATATTCATTTTAATGTTTTATTTTATTTTTTTGTCTTTGTTGATATAACACGGTTTATGTAGTTTTGAGAAAGATAATATTTTTACTTTTGAATAAAAATAAATTTGAAGACATTATAATTTTTTTTTAAAAATATATCGATATTAATATCAAATTAACTATTTAATTTTTTTATATATAATTTATTTTTTTATTATATTTTAATTTAAGTCAAATAGTGAAGCAATTTATTTTTGGCTTAACAATAATTTTTTTATAAAGATAATGATTCTGTTAGAATTTGATAATTGTCTTAATTATATATTATATTTTGAAATAAGATGTTTATTCTCTATTTGATTATGTTTATCCCCAGTTATTTACACGAATTCAAACATGTATCTTTAATAAGTTGTAATTATGTATAATTTACTTGTAATCTTGAATTTTAAGTAATATGCATCAATATACAATAATTCATGCATAAAAATGATTTTTAAGAGTTTTTGTCAAATGTTTTATAATATAGTATAGATAAACATTATACACATCTTAATTATAATAAACGATTTTATAAATACATCATTTATTTTATTAATATAAAATCTGTATGGTTTATAGATTAATTGGTTTATATTTAAACTTAATTTTTGTGGTATTAATTCAAGTAACGGCGAATGAGGTAGACGAACAAAACTATGCGAGTGGGAGAAACATTCGTTAACGCGGAGATTCAGATCTGATCAAAGTGACAAGAAGTCAAGTTTGTAAATTTTCAAAATCACCCCTCAACTTTCAACATATATTTTAAAGACCCTTCCATTTACTTAAACGCATCTGCCAAGTCCATAAAATCCACCCACCGATTGGTGGTCATTTACCAAAGGAGAATGACGGTATATCATAGGGTTATATCATTGTGTAAACATTATAATGTACATCATAATTTTTCGTACGGTGACGATAATATCTTTAAAAAATAATGAAGTAAGTTAATTAGTAACCAGACCTTTCATGTATCAAATCTAATAAAAACCGATATAATATTTAAATAAGAATCTTTGTATAAACAGTTCTTAAAAGTAAGAGTCAGCATTCCTTCCTTTATATATCAAACTTCTTCCAATCAGTTATTGGGTGAGGATACCCAAAGAAAACTGCAAAATACTCAAATCTCATAAAGCCACCTCATCGTCAATGTTTTTGTTCTTTCAATATATATTCATCATCTCTTTATACACCAAGCTCCGTTCAATTAATTATCTTTTCATCGATGTGTGATAACCAAAGCAAACCCAAATTTAAGATTTGCAAAATACTCGGATCCCATAAAATCATATCATCATCCTTTATGTTCATTAAAATTGACTCTGAAGTGACGTTAAGAATGACATTAACTAGAGTGTAACTTACTGTGTTTTTACAACTATTCAACAAAATTGTAACAAATGCATATATTTTTGTGTACAAAATACTGGCTACTACCACCCTGTTGGGTGATGAACTTGTTTATATAGTAATAAATATCCCCTCTTTATAAAAAAAATGTCATCTTATACCGAGTGACATAACCCCAAGACCTTTTAGACCATATAAAAATACTTTTTTGAGGGAAAAACACTTAGTTTTTTGCCATGACAATTTACTATCTTCATTTTATTTTATATAGTATGAGATTGAAAGATATGAGCAATATATATATATATATATATATATATAGAGAGAGAGAGAGAGAGAGAGAGAGAGGGTGAGTTATTATGTAACTCTTTACATTTATACAACCAATACAACTCAATCTCAACTGTCCATTTAATTTGATGAATATGTGATTTCATAAAAGTTTTGATTGTTTCATAATATAAATTATTGATCATAATTAATGAACTTTAATAATTTTTCATAAATATTCAAATCATAATAAATGAACTCTCATCATTTTCATAAATATTTCAATTTATTGAGTCGCATTGGTTGTACAAATATAATGAATTGCATTTGAAACGTCCTCTATATATATAATACGAATATTTTTGAGATGAGACTTGTAAACAAAAAACAAAGAATAGATTAAGACTATGTAGACAAATATTTCGTAGCATGATGCTTTTTAGCTTCTTAGGTTTGTAAAATTAATGGGCGGGTTACTGAAGGACTAATTGTGTAATAAATAGAATATGCAGTGGGTTTCTTTTGTCAAATGAAAGAGTTGAAGGGGCGTTGTTGAAAAAATCTCTCTACATTGCGAAATGTTAGGGAGTCGGTATTCTGGAATCTGTAACAAACCCGCTAAAATCTCTCTATCTGTATAGTATATACACACATGTATGTATATATATGATATGTAATATATATATATACATATATATGCATATGTAGGTATCTGTCTGTGGTATGCTACCGTCTGGTCGGCAACGAAGCTTCAGGTGAACGACCGTTTCTGTCTCTCTCTCCTTCTCCTTCTCCCTCTGTTTTCTGCTTATATTCCTTTGCTGCTTTCCCACTTACAGATAACCCACTCACCTGCAACTGCATTATCTGTTTCTTTCTTTTTAATCTGAGTTCAACTGTTCACTCCGAATTTCTTGATCTGGGGATTTCAGGAATCGAAAAAATAATTGTTTCTTTAATGGATGTTCACGTTTAACTGCTGTATTGGTGTTCTTTAATTAGGTATATATATATATATATACGTGTCTATCGACTCTATCACTTTCCTACTAGTTCTTTGATTGCTTTATAAATTGAAGTTGAACCCACATACTATATGAAGATTTCGTCATCAACGTATCAGAAATTATGATGGTTCGTTTGCGGAAGTCTTGATTTTACGTTGTAGAATGATAAATCTTACAAACTATATTTGACGCGTTTAGTGGTCGGTTTACAGATTTTTCTGACGTCGCAATGATTAATGTGATGAATTATGTGAAGAAACCCATGAACGATGTGGAAAAAGGCTTGGATTCACAGTTATGGCATGCCTGTGCCGGTGGTATGGTGCAAATGCCGCCGGTAAACTCTAAGGTTTTGTATTTTCCTCAAGGCCATGCTGAGCACTCCGGCGTCAGAAACGTCGATTTCGGAGATTTCCGGCGAATCCCACCTTACATTCTGTGTCAGGTATCCGTCGTGAAGTTCATGGCAGATTCCGACACAGATGAAGTTTATGCCAAGATTGGGCTTCAACCCTTGAGTAATCAGAGCGATTGTGATTTCGATGATGGTGATAATGATGAGGGGTTTTTAGGGTTTGATCATAAGAGGAATGAGAACAAAGAGAAACCGTCTTCTTTCGCCAAGACTTTGACTCAATCCGATGCCAACAATGGTGGCGGATTCTCCGTTCCGAGATACTGTGCCGAGACTATTTTTCCACGGTTGGATTACGCGGCGGAGCCACCAGTTCAGACCATCTTGGTGAAAGACGTTCACGGACAAATATGGAAGTTCCGGCATATCTACAGAGGGACTCCACGCCGGCATCTTTTGACCACCGGCTGGAGCAATTTCGTGAACCATAAGAAGCTGGTGGCTGGTGATTCCATTGTGTTCTTGAGAGCCGATAATGGCGATCTTTGTGTCGGAATTAGGAGGGCAAAGAGGGGACTTGGTGGTGGGTTTCTTGAAAATTCCACTGCTTCCTCCCTATACGGCGGTGGGTTCGCCAGATACCGACCAGAAAAAGAAAATGTCAACGGAGAAAGAAATCCAAGTGCTGAATCAGCAATCAAAGCTGCAAATCTTGCAGCCAACGGACACCCATTTGAGGTTGTTTACTACCCACGAGCAAGCACGCCGGAGTTCTGTGTCAAAGCTTCGACTGTAAAAGCTGCAATGAGAATCCAATGGTGCCCTGGAATGAGGTTTAAGATGGCTTTCGAGACCGAAGATTCTTCTCGAATTAGCTGGTTCATGGGTACCATTTCTTTGGCTCAGGTTGAAGATCAAATTTCTTGGCCTAATTCGCCATGGAGGCTTCTTCAGGTATCAATTCATTCTTCCCCATTGATTGTTTTCAAAACCTTGATTTCTAGTTGCATTTTCTTGAAGGTGTATAATCTTTGATCTTTAGTAGAGAACTAGTAATCGAACTAGGAAAGTTTTGACATTTTTTTGGTTGGGATGAATGAAGGTAGCTTGGGACGAACCAGAGCTGCTACAAAACGTGAAGAGGGTTAACCCGTGGTCAGTCGAATTGGTGTCGAGTATGCCCGCGATGCATCTTTCGCCGTTTTCACCTCCGCGAAAGAAACTTCGGATCCCTCAACCTCCCGATTTCCCCCTCCTTATGATGTCACCTAGCATTCAGGGAGCCAGGCATAGTTCTCATTTTGGATTGGATCATAACCATCATCTCCGGTTCAACCAAATTCACCCACCGTTCCTATCCCGGTTCCCAAATCACGACTCCCCGAGCCGATTCCCGCTCCAGGAACATGATGAAAACGTCTCCTGCTTGTTGACCATGGGAAACCAGAGTCCTAAAACGAGTTTGAAGAAGAAGGATGTTGAAAAAGACAAGAAAAAACCGTTATTCATGTTGTTTGGACAACCGATTCTGACAGAAGAGCAGCTATCCGAGAGCTTCTCTGGTGATACAACCGCGAACGTATCCGATGGTTCAGTGGTTCTTCAAAATGGTTCGGTACGGAGCTCTTCCGATGACGATGGTACGTGGGTCGAGACGGGGCACTGTAAGGTTTTCATGGAGTCAGAGGACGTGGGTCGGAGTCTCGACCTGACAGCCCTGCGGTCGTACGAAGAATTGTACAGGGAGCTGGGTGGCATGTTCGGTGTAGAGAAATCGGATCACTTGATCTACCGGAACGCAGAGGGAGTTATAAAACACATGGGAGATGAAGCTTTTAGGTATGGATAACCCATCATTTACAGTAAAATTTGCATCAATGTTTTGATTGGATGGTAATTTGAGTTAAAATCTGTTTTGGTTTTGCAGCGAGTTCTCGAAGGCGGCCCGAAGGTTGACGATTGTAAGGGGGGGGGTCAAGGGAGGTAGCAGATAATGGATGTTAATTTGGTTGAACAAATTTTAGGTGTTAAGAATGATTTTGTCTTGGTGTTAAACGATAGTTGTTTTTACCATTTTGTTGTTCGACATCCCGTTCATGCGAAACTTTGTCCCGACATTACTAAATGGTCTTTCATCGTTTATTAACATGTACATGCTAATTTAGGTAATCAATATATATATATATATATATATATATATATATATGTATATATATATATATAG